ATATGGTGAGACATAAATTGCAGAATGCCATACCAGCTCGGACGTCGCCCGGGTTAACAAGGTCCGCGCTAGATATTGGAGTTCCTGGATATCTGGTGAAAAATGGGCTACAGGACTCAGGACTGTTGGCTGAGCAACCAGGGCCAGCAGCTGCAGAACTACTGGAAGAAAAGGTGTTTACCCGTCGCAGATACACAGTGATAGAAAACAAAGAAATAATGATCTGTTACTACAGATCAAATCCAACAAGAAGAGGATATCTAAAACGAATGCACCAGTTCTGGAAAGAACAACATCCAGAATCAGAAATAACAGAACAGAGACTAGCAGATCAACGCCGATTTATAACACGAAATAAAGTATTCACAGAAATAGAATTGGACGAACTGCAAAAGTTTACCCAGGGCAAAGAAATCAAAGCCTTACCAGAAGTAATTCAGAATGTAGAGGCAAACCAGGGAGAGTTGGCAGTGAAGGAATCCAGCAGAGATATACAACTGTTCTCATTTGGAAACCAGGCACCTCTTCCTCAGGAAGAACAAAACCCTCTAACTAAAGAAATAAAAGAATTGAAACAAAGAATAACTGAGCATCTAGAACAGCACAAAAACAACAGAATAAGGCTACCTGCATTGAAGCTTGTTCCAAAGAAACAGCTAGCACAAGCATTAAAAGATGCAAATACTGCAATATCAAGTATAAGCACCAATTCACTGCAAGAAACAAACCAACTAATGTACAGCACAGCTGCAGTTATAACAGAATACCTGGGATGCAAAATCAACAAAGAAGAAAAACAAACAAACAGTGCACCATAAAAATGGAAGGTTAGACTAGAAAATAAGATCAGCAAGTTAAGATCACATACAAGCAAGCTAGAACAGATGAAAGAAAAGAAGCTGAAGAACAAGAAGACCAAAGAATACCTAATCAAGAAATACCACTTAGAAACAAGGAAAATCAAGGAAGCACTGGAAATAATAAAGCAACAAATAACAGCTATAGCCAGGAAAATCAGTAGATATGAAGCTCGAATTGCAAACTATAGGCAGAACCTCCAATTTCAATCCAATCAGAAACGTTTCTACCAATCCATCAATGGAGAAACTGCAAGGAATCAGTCAGTACCTGACAAGGAAGAAACAGTGCAGTTCTGGAAGCAGATATGGGATAACCCAAAGAAATACAACAAGGATGCGGCTTGGTTAAAAGAGGTGGATGCAAATAAAACAGAAGTTGAAATGAAAGAACTAGTAATAACAACAAAAATGGTAGAAAAAAGAGCAAGGAAAATCAAAAATTGGTCAGCACCAGGTGAAGATGAACTGCATGGGTTTTGGTTGAAACATCTAACTGTTATACACCCACTCATTTCTAAGCAGTTCAACAATATACTACAAGGAGGAGAAATTGAAAAGTGGCTAACAACTGGGAAAACCTACTTAATAATAAAAAATCCAGCAAAAGGGGCAACACCAGGCAACTACAGGCCAATTACCTGTTTACCAACGACTTTCAAATTACTAACTGGTGTGGTAGCTGATGCAGTACAACAGCATCTAGTTGAAAACAATCTCTTTCCACCTAAGCAGAAAGGAAACCGCCCCAATAGCAGAGGAACAAAAGATCAACTCCTAATAGAAAAAATGATTTTGGAAAACTGCAAGAGAAGGGAGACCAACCTGAATGTGGCATGGATTGACTACAAAGTCAAAATTATTATTATTATTATTATTATTATTATTATTATTATTATTATTATTATTATTATTATTATTAATCATTGCACAGTCAGCCAGACGTTCAGACTGGATTTGGCATTTTGTCTACCTATCGAATCCTTACCCAGGACCTGGGATAGGCATGACAAAGTAGCAACAATGGTGCATTGGAAGATCTGCAAAAAATATCATTTGCCTGTAAGCAAAAACTGGTGGGATCATAAAATAGAGAAAGTCATAGAAAATGATAAAATTAAACTGCTCTGGGACTTCAGAATTCAAACAGACAAGCACCTGCAACATAACACCCCAGACTTAACAATTGTCGATAAGAAAGACAAAAAAGTCTGGATAGTGGACGTGGCAGTGCCTGGAGATAGCAGAATAGAAGAGAAAGAACTGGAGAAGATAACAAAATACAAAGACCTACAAATAGAAATAGAAAGACTGTGGCAAAAGCAAGCAAGGGTAGTACCAATAGTCATAGGCTCCTTGGGTGCAATCCCAAAACAACTGGAGCACCACTTGAACACCATTGGCATTGACAAATTCGCTATTAATCAATTGCAAAAGGCGGCCTTATTAGGAACTGCTTCCATCCTGCGACGATATCTGTAATACCATCAAACATCCACATCTGCCTATCCCAGGTCCTGGGTAAGGACTCGATAGGTAGACAAAATGTCAAATCCAGTCTGAACGTCTGGCTGACTGTGCAATGATCAATAGTAATAATAATAATAATAATAATAATAATAATAATAATAATAATAATAATAATAATAATAATAATAATGATCTCTGAAGCTGTATGGAAAAACATCATCTGAAATAGAATCGCTGCTCAACACTGTCCGTATATATAGCCAAGATATTGTAATGGAGTTTGGCTTGGACAAATGTGCCACACTTACTATCAAACAAGGAAAAATAGTGAAAACTGAAGGAATCAAGATGCCCCACGAAAATAACATTAAGAGTCTGGATGAGGAAGAGTACTACAAATACTTGGGTATCCTTCAAGCTGACAACATCAAGCACACTGAAGTCAAGAAAAAGATTAGAGGTGAATACATCAAGAGAGTGAAGAAGATCTTAAAATCCAAACTCAATGGAGGAAATACCATAAAGGCAATCAACACCTGGGCAATCCCAGTCATTAGGTACACAGCTGGAATAGTGGACTGGACTCAAGCAGAACTAAAAGCAATGGATAGGCAGACCAGAAAAATAATGACAATGAATCATGCCCTTCATCCACGCAGTGACATTGATAGACTTTATCTACCAAGGCAAATAGGTGGGCGTGGAATGCTACAAGTACATCAGATGGTTGAAGAAGAAAAAATGGCTTTGGAAGAATATCTGAAGAACAATGATGAAGATGCACTGAAATTAGTATATCAGGAAGGCTTACTAACTACTGGAGAGACCAAACTGGCCTACAAGAAAGACCAAATGAAGAACAGAATAGAGGCATGGGAAGACAAAGCACTACATGGCCAATACATGAAAAAAATAGCTGGGAAAGCAGATAATAATAAAACCTGGCAATGGCTAAGAGCAGGAAAATTGAAGAAAGAGACCGAGGGACTAATTCTGGCTGCACAAGAACAAGCCTTAAGGACAAATGCATACAAAGTCAAAATTGAGAAGACAGCAACAGACAGTAAGTGCCGCCTATGCAAAGAAGCTGAAGAAACAGTGGACCACTTGGTAAGCTGTTGCAAGAAGATTGCACAGACTGATTACAAGCAGCGGCATGACAAAGTAGCAACAATGGTGCATTGGAAGATCTGCAAAAAATATCATTTGCCTGTAAGCAAAAACTGGTGGGATCATAAAATAGAGAAAGTCATAGAAAATGATAAAATTAAACTGCTCTGGGACTTCAGAATTCAAACAGACAAGCACCTGCAACATAACACCCCAGACTTAACAATTGTCGATAAGAAAGACAAAAAAGTCTGGATAGTGGACGTGGCAGTGCCTGGAGACAGCAGAATAGAAGAGAAAGAACTGGAGAAGATAACAAAATACAAAGACCTACAAATAGAAATAGAAAGACTGTGGCAAAAGCAAGCAAGGGTAGTACCAATAGTCATAGGCTCCTTGGGTGCAATCCCAAAACAACTGGAGTACCACTTGAACACCATTGGCATTGACAAATTCGCTATTAGTCAATTGCAAAAGGCGGCCTTATTAGGAACTGCTTCCATCCTGCGACGATACCTGTAATACCATCAAACATCCACATCTGCCTATCCCAGGTCCTGGGTAAGGACTCGATAGGTAGACAAAATGCCAAATCCAGTCTGAACATCTGGCTGACTGTGCGATGATTGAGAATAATAATAATAATAATAAAGTTGGAAGGAACCTTGGAGGTCATTGTGTCCAATCCCCTGCTCAGGCAGGAAACCCTATACCATTTCGGAAAGATTGCTGTCCAGTCTCTTCTTAAAAACTTCCAGTGTTGGAGCACTCACTGCTTCTGAAGGCAGGTTGTTCCATTGGTTAATTGTTCTAACTGTCAGGAAGTTTCTCCTTAGTTCTAGGGTGCTTCTCTCTTTGATTAGTTTCCATCCATTGCTTCTTGTCCTGCCTTCAGGTACTTTAGAGAATAGCTTGACTCCCTCTTCTTTGTGGCAGCTCCTTAGATATTGGAACATTGCTATCATTCCTTTCATTACACTAGACATACCCAATTCCTGCAGCCATTCTTTGTTATGTTTTAGCCTCCTATTCCCTAATCATCTTTGTTGCTCTTCTCTGTAGTCTTTCTAGAGTCTCAACATCTTTTTTATATTATGATGACCAAAACTGAATGCGGTATTCCAAGTATGGTCTTACCCATTGGTGGGATTCAAATATGTGAACAACCGGTTCTCTGTATGGATGCTGCTTCCAGAAGTCCATTCTGGGCCTGGGCAACAAAAAATTAGCTACTAGTTCTGCCGAAGTGGTATGAACTCGCTAAATCTTACCAAACTTTAAACATTGGGTTTTTTTTTTCTTTTCCCTTTTGTGCAATATTTCTCATTCCTTGCATTGGAAAGTCTTATTAACAGAGAAGGGAAAACATAAAACACAAGTAAACAAAAATGCACTCTAGAGCAGTAACCTTTTGTCAAGATATTATCTTGTCACATTTGAAATGTAGACTGAAATTTTGTTTCCTTTTCGTCCCCTTCAATTCAATAAAAAAAGAATTGTGAAAGAGATAGAAATGAGCTGACAGTGAAGAATTATAACAGCACATCTTTCATGGTCACCTACCAGCCTGCGGTGAATTCCACATGTGCATCAAAGAAGCCCGTGATCTGCCCTGAGGCCACTTTCCAGCCTTCAATGCGAGCTCGGATCAAACCTTCTCTTTTCTGGTTACGGACTACCTTCACTAGGCCTGGATATCTCTTGTTGACATATTCTTCCAGTGGTGCCTTCAATTCTTCTAGAAGGAGAAGTGAAAACAGTGACCAAATGCAAGAAACCTGAGTGCCTAATTCACAGTATATATTCAAAGAACTTCTCTATCTTCTTTTTGAGGTTCTCCAAATCCACCATGATAGCAATAGCAATAGCACTTTGACTTATATACCACCCTTTAGTGCTTTACAGCAGTCACTGAGTGGTTTATAAATGCCAGCATATTGTCTGCAACAATCTGGATCCTCATTTTACTGACCTGGGAAAGATGGAAGGCTGAGTCAAGGCTTGAGCCTGTCAGGATCAAGCTCCTGGCAGTGGGCAGAATTAGCCTGCAATACTGCATTCTAACCACTGTGCCACCAGGGCTCTCAACTAATAGGAATCTGTTGGAGGGCTTTCCCATCCTTTTGAGAAAGGAAAGAAAGGAATATGTTAGCATATCTTGAAAGAGGCAGAAATCTTTGAAAGGATCCACTCTCACAAGGTATGGTCTGGCTTTTTTTGTATCTTTGTCCCACCCTCTGTGATTCCTTGCCATAAAAAAATATTAAGTGTAGTTCCCAGCTAATAAAAAAATGTTTCATCTGACACTTGGATATTGTTTCAATTGATCAACTGAGTTACATTGGCAAATAGCTTATGATTAGGATTTGCTCAAACAGAGGTGAATGGTCACTTTGATAGACCTGAGGCACCCCTTGAGGAGAAGGGACCAAAATGCTCAGATCTTTCGCTATTCATCTTATTTGGGGATTTTGGTGTTTGGAGTTTTGGAGTTATATAGCATCTTAAGACTTGCAGAGGTCCCTAGACATTATAGAAAAGGGGTCCCCAACCTCTGGTCCACGACCCAATGCTGGGTCACAGCCCCTTTAAAACCGGGCCATAGAAGTAGTGGGTGAGTGTATGTGTGTGCTTACAAGCCCAAAGCTGTATTTGTGAAAGTGGTATGCACACATGTATATGTCTGCAGCTATTCCGTCTCCCCACCCCCATCTCGCTGTTGCTGTCTCCACGGGTCCACTCAGCTGGAAAGATTGAAGACCTCTGTTATAGAAGACTCTCCAAAGTGATGTATAGATCTTAGAAAAGATACAGTTTGGTTAACTCCACAACATTTCCCATGATATGTCGGATGAGAGGGAATTAGCTTAATTTTATAAGCTGTAGTGATGCAGTGGTTAGAATGCAGTACTGCAGGCTATTTTTGCTGACTGCTGGCTGACTGCAGTTTGGCAGTTTGAGTCTCACCAGCTCACCAGGCAGAAGAAGAACATCATGGCTTCAAAATCTAAGGGACTGGTTTGGACAAAACTCAACAGCACTTTTTCATGCAGCTGCTGATAAAAACACGATTGCCAACGTGATTGCCAACGTCCGATAATGGATATAGCACAAGAAGAAGAAGAGCTCATGATTGACTCAGCCTTCCATCCTTACAAGGTCAGTAAAATGAGGACCCAGATTGTTTGGTGCTAATATGCTGACTCTGTAAACCGCTTAGAGAGGGCTGTAAAGCACTACGAAGTGGTATATAAGTCTAAGTGCTATTACTATTTATACAAAGTTAGATCTGTTTAGGTAGGGTTGCTAGATTGAGAAACCCCTACTGCCATCTTGTGGTCATCTGGGTTTTTGCAATCCCAATCTGGTGGCACTCATTTAGGGCTAATCTAATCCCCATTGGATAGTTGACTGGATCAATTAGCTGGGCGGTTTGCCTTTTTGGAGTTAGCACAAAATGCTAACCCTTTTTCATTTTGACACAACTAAACATGTATGGGAATGCAACCATAGAGGAATTGACTAAGTGGCCAGCTGCAAATGAACTAACCGCTTGGATGGAGTTTGGGAGTTATCATCAGGATTTAAATTAAGATCTCTCAAGTCACTGCTCCACCCAAGCTATTATCTAATGGTAGGGCCAGATCTATTTAATGGTAGGGCAGTTTCTGCTGTAGACAAGTTGAACTACTAATGTGTCTTTATGTTTCAAAGAAGAGCAAAACCAAACGTAGGTACTGATAGAAGAGAATATTTATAGCTCAGGGTTGAAATGTGGGGTCCTTGGTGCTTCTGAGCTTGATAGTTTTCTTGCAGACATTTCATTACCAAACTAGGTAACATCATCAGTGCACTAATGATGTTACCAAGTTTGGTAATGAAATGTCTGTAAGAAAACCACCAAACTCAGAGATCTCTAAGGACCCCATACCAAATGTAGGTTTGTCCATACATATTTTTGCAAGCCAGATATTTACCCATTTTCTTAACCATTTTTATTTTATTTTTAAAAAGTAAAAATATAAAGCACCATAATATTTTTAAAAAACAAACAAAAAGAAAAAATAGAACAAGAAAGACATTAAAAAAGAAAAAGGTGCACTAAAAAAAACCTAATACATATACACACCTTGTCCTCCCTGGTTGAATGCTGATTTATATATTACAACAATATTAGTCTCCCCAAAGTAGCCAAAATAAAGTTAAATTATTAAACTACTAATTCTATATACAAATTCTTAACCTGTCATCTATATACTATATTAATAACAAAATAGTTAATAGGAAGGACAGCAATATTAAAAAAGACAAGATTAAAATTTCAAAACCCTCTGTTAACAATCTGCTATTGTAATCAACTCGTAGAAAATTTACCATGGCTTCTTAACTATCCCAAATCATCCCCAAAATTAACTCTGATGGGTCCTGGATCAAATATCCTTATTTGTTTCTTAATATCACCTCTTATCAGTTATTGTTTGATTAAATACAATAGATCCAATCTTCAAAGTCAGTCTGTCTTTCCCAAAATATATTTAATTGCACATCTAATGCAATTCTTCCATTTTGTATCTGCCCAGTTCTCCTCCTATTTTTTTTATAATGTAACAATCTCAGGATGCCTAAAGCAGTGGCCAGCAGCTACTGTCTAATGATTTAGACATCACATCAAATCCAATTTAATGGCACCAAGTTCTATTTATGATTTCTAGTTCTGGTTAGTTGCCCAGTGACATGCTTTGCTGATCTTGGACATGCCATAGTGTGGAGCACTAATTTGATGAGATCACAATAGCTATACTGAAATTTCTGAAATAAATTGAAATGTCATCTTCTTACAGGATTTGGACATCAATTCAGGAACATATTAAGGCAATGAGATAGAATACAGCTAGCAACTTACAACACCCGAGTGCTAAATGCTAAAAACAGATGACCCTGTTTGACACTAATGAGATTCCACCGCACTCCACACTAATGTGGAATACACAAACACGGCTTTTCTTGAACCTGGTAAAAGTGTCATTGTGTTCCAAGGTAAAGGATTTGATGAGCTGACCATAACCAACCCACCAATTATTGGCACCACAGCAAAGCAATACACTGGCTAAAGTTGCCATATGGACCAAAATGTGGTTTTCATTCAATAACTTGGAAAAATGTTTCTAATTTGAGAGAGGCTATAAATCAAAGGAAGATTTTGTTCCAGGCATTCCATTATTTTCATTCCTTTGACTTTCTCTATATGTTGTATACTTTTTCTCATTTTTTTGTCTTTCTGAAGCTGCTAGTTGTAAAAGTACTTTTTCAAATGGCAAATGGACTTTCTTTGTTTTTCCTTGAAGATGTTTTGCTTCTCACTGAGGAAGTGAAACATCCTCAAGGAAAAGCAAAGAAAGTCCAGTTTCCTTTTGAGAAAGCACCTTTAGGACAACCATGACCTGGATGACTGAGAATCTTCATAGACATGAAGATGCTTGTGTTTTCAAGGAGGAGAAGAAAGAGGGATGAACAGGTGGAGAAGAGGAAAGGGAAAGGGAAGGGGAAGGAGAAAGAGCAAAGGAAATAAATCTCTAGGTTTGGCATTAAATATGTGGGCAATATGATTTCCTAACCATTTCTGATTCTTGCCCAAAGGAGAAAAGAAAATCCTTAAATGTTCAGATGTAAAATATGGGCAAAGTCATCATAAAATTAGTGACATTTAGATTCATATCATGGCAGACAGCCAGCTGCTATAAAGACTGTTATGAAATAAAAAACAGAAATGAAATTATTGGAAAAAAAGCCATTAGAAAGGATTTTTTTTTAATGACTCAGATTCACCTTTCTTGGAATGCTAGGCTCAAGGTCAAAGGTTCCTCCAAGTTAAAAAGATTGGATAGCATGGGACAGAAAACATCTCTGCCTGAGAAAGAGGAAAACTCTTTCAGTTTAACAACTTAGTTCCCACACTGCACTATATCATGGTTTGCTTAACCATGATTGGTTAATAGACATTATAAACATATCCTCAAGTCAATTTCAACTCCTGGAAGTTGCATTGGATATGTCAATGCAGTTGTTTTGGCAATAACATGGAAGTGGGTTTGACATTGCCATTTTCTGAGACTCTTTTTGATTTCTGATTTTGTCTACACCCCAAGAATTTCCTAGTGGTCTTCCTTCCGAGGAAGGAAGCATTCAGCCCTTTTTAGCTTCTGAGCCCAAGCAGATGGGCCAAATGCTGCTACCTGATAAAATGTAAAAAAATAATCTACCCAATGCCCCTTTCTCAGTTTTCCCAGTAGTAAAGCATGGCAGTAAGAGTTGGACCATAAGGAAGGCTGAGCACCAAAGAACTGATGCTTTCAATTTGCTGGTGCTGAAGAAGACTTTTGGGAGTCCGTTGGACCTCAAGGAGATCAAATTCTACCCTACTCTACTCTATTCTACTCTACTCTACTCTACTCTATTCCATTCTATATCGGTCAATCCTAGTGGAAATTGGCAGTGACTCTTCTTTGGAAGAACAGATACTGAAGCTGAAGCGCAAATGCTTTGGCCACCAAATGAAAAGAGAGGACTCATTGGAAAAGTTGGGAAAGATGGAAGACAAAAGGAGAAGGAAAGTGCAAAGGATGAGATGGTTAAATAGTGTCATCAACGCAACAAACATGAATTTGGGCAAAGTCCAGGAGACAGTGGCGGACAGTGGGGCCTGGTGTATTGTGGTCTATGGGGTCACAAAGAGTCAGA